TGGGCAGCACAAGAGGCCAGCCAGGACTACACCCAAGATGAACCAAAATGGTCCCAAAATGCACGAGCGCTCACGGGGTCTCTCCCTGGGATCAGCTCTGCTCCATGTGCACATTGCAGTTCAGTGTCCAATTCCAGCTTTAGCCCCTGCAGTCCCATCCTGCTTGTTTTTCTCTCTTCAGCCCATGTTGTTTGTGCTCTTGGGCTGAGATTTGGATCATTTGTCCTTGGTCCCCAGCTAGAGCAGGAATTGTTTTGTCTCCCTGCTCTGTGCAGAGAGCTCACCATCCCCTGATGTGAAGCCCAGACACACACACTAAAGCAGCACAGAATCTGAAAAATACAAAAGCTAAAACCTGAGCCATCACTGCCTCATCACACCTGGGCTGCATCAAGCTCCAGCAAATGGAGACACAGCATTGCCCTGGGAGCAAGCCACCAGGAACAGGCTTCATTACACAGGAAGGATTTGCAAGAAAAACCTGAATTGCCCAGTTCCAAGTTCTTTTCCAAACGCTTCCCTGGGTGCCTCTGGAGCAGATGATTGAGGGCTCCCACAGGGATGTGATGCTGCTGCTTTATTTCAGCCCCATTGTGGAATTTCAGTACTGAGGGAGTTAATGGAATGTTCGTGGCTGCACACCCAGCAGAGAGCTGGGCTCCCCCCACGCAGGCACAGCAAGGGTAGCTCCCCACGTGCTGCAGGTGCCAGGGGTTTGCCACAGCACCCAAGGAGGTGCCTAGCAGCAGAGCAGGAGGGGGATGACCCTGGCACTGCACCAGTGCCACCCTGGCAGCTGTGCAGCACCACCCAAAGTGACTGCTTTCCAGGGTTCTGTGAGCACTGGTGCAACGCTCCTCCTGGCACCACTGACTCCTGAAAGTCTGGTCTGTCAGCAAACCAGAGCTCATTAAAATGACTTTGTAATTACTGACATCCTCTAAGTCGGACATTATCCTTAAAAAATGTGGTGTGGGAGCAGGTGCCTGGGGAGAACAGCTTGTAAGTGCTCTCCATTGTTACAGAAACTCCAGAAACCTCTGAACAACCTCATGTCTCCCCTCATCCCCCTTTGCTCCTGCTATTGGGGCTCTGGAGGTGGCAGAAAAAAGGAATCTCTAGCTTCCATGGGCTTCCATGGGCTTCCATGGGCTTCCTGCCATGCTGTGACAGTGGCTCTGGGACACACCTGGACCTGCTGGCAGAGCACAGCTCCTCTGCTTTTGTCTGTGCCCCTCCAGGGGTGGCAGCTGCCCAGGAGGAGCTGCTGTGCCCAGCGATAACAGCTGCTCTTTGTCTGATGCTGAAGGTGCTTGTCAGCCTCAGGAAGATAAAAAGGTGAGGTTATTTAGAATTGTGGCTCCTGTGCCTCCCAGGCAGCTCTTGCTGCTGTGCACATGGCCCCGCTCCAAGTGGCACGGAGTGCAGGGGCAGCTGAGGTCACCCACGGTGGGTGCTGCTGGCTGTGCCAGTGTCACCCAGCACTGCTACAGTGTCACCCAGCCCTGTGCCAGTGTCACCCAGCCCTGTGACAGTCACACTGCCCTGTGCCAGTGTCACCCAGCCCTGTGACAGTGTCACCCTGCCCTGTGCCAGTGTCACCCAGCCCTGCTCCAGTGTCACCCTGCCCTGTGCCAGTGTCACACTGCCCTGCTCCAGTGTCACCCAGCCCTGCTCCAGTGTCACCCAGCACTGCTCCAGTGTCACCCAACCCTGTGCCAGTGTCATCCAGCCCTGCTCCCAGCCCTGTGCCAGTGTCACCCAGCCCTGTGCCAGTGTCACCCAGCCCTGTGCCAGTGTCACCCAGCCCTGTGCCAGTGTCACCCAGCCCTGTGCCAGTGTCACACTGCCCTGCTCCAGTGTCACCCAGCCCTGTGCAGAGTCACCCTGCACTGCTGCAGGGTCAGCCAGCTGTGCCTCAGCTGGGCCACAGATCCCCACATCTGTCTCACCATGGCACCCCTTGGCCAGCCAGTACAACAAAACAATGAATTATGTGCCTTGAGTGCAGGAACTCTGCAGCATTTTCGCTCTGCTCAGCAACATCCCCACCCTCACATGCCAGCCCGTGTCAGACTGACACTCCTGGTGTCACACTGCACTGCCACTCCACACTGCCAGCCTGCCCAAGGCTCTCTGCTCCCAGGGCTGTGGGAGGGATTCCCTGAACAGCCCCTGGCCCACAGGCCAGGCCATGCACCTTTCTGACACCACAACATGCACCAGCCAAGCAAAGCAGGTGCTTTTTCCTCCCCACGAAGTGTCAGTAGCAAGAAACCACCCCTCCAGCTCCTCTAGAGATGTCAGCCCACCTTAGCACAGATGGCATTTAACAAAACAAGGCATCATTTCACACCTTGATGCTACTAAAACTGTCCCTTACTCACCACATGCCACCTTTGATAAAGTGGTATTTTCCCCCAGAACACTGAAATGACCCACACAGACAAACCAGGGCAGGATTACTGGTTGGTTTTACTCAGGTATTTAGATATCTCTTTATTGCCAGCTTCAACCGTGGTTCAATAAATACAAAAATTTTTAAAAAGTCAATAGATTTTTATTAGCATTTATAGTAACTATTATTATTATTATTATCATTATTAATAAATATTCCAAACCAAGTGAGATTCCCTGGAGATGTCTGACTATAGTTCAAACATGAGATGCACACAGAGTCCCTTATAATATTATATTACATTTGTCTCAAACTTATAAAAATATATATTAACTTCTCAAGTGTGTATTTACAGTACTTAAGATGTGGCTAATGAATATAAAAGCATCTGGAGATGAACCAACTTGATTCCCATTTGGTTTCTTGGGAGGGGAGTGTTGCAGATGCTGCTCCAACAGGGCTGGGGCTGTCCCAGCCCGTGGAGAAGGCAAAAGCCTCATGACCTGCCAGGGGCTGGATGGGAAAAATCAGGGTCATTTTGAGGCATTTCCCTTGCAGCTGCAAAACAGCATTGCTGATTAATTTAATTATACTACTTCCCCAAGGAGAGAAGCTGAGAGGATGCAAGTTAATTTTAATATCATAACAACAATTTAATAGCTTAATCTACGAATTTTGTTATCTCGTGTTGGTGAGGAGCTCAATTAAAAGTGTTTATTCTTGCAAAAAGCTGGGCTAGAAGGCTGCTTCCATGGGGGGTTTTCCTTTCCTTCCTCGTAGGAGAGGCCAGGAAAGCTGATGACTCCTGTTTCTGGTGGGTCAGAGCCCATCCCAGAGCTCAGCTCCTGTGGGACCCCTCCACACAGCCACAGCTACTTCCCCCAGGAGCCAGCCCTGGCCACTGAGCCCAGGGAAACAGCCATGGCCACAGGTAACTGTGCTGAGGTATATCCCTTTCCAGCTGGACACATCCAGAGGCACAGAAAAGCAGATTGCAGTGGCCACAAGTGGCACCCAGAGCTGGCCCCCTGTCACCTTCCTTGCTCTGGAGGCAGGGTCTGTTCTGGGGGACTTGAGGGAACACGGTGCTGCCTGCTCATGGCCAAGTCTGCTTTCCAAACTGAGGCACACTGCCACCCCATCACCAAGCCCTAGATGTCTCCAGACCTCCCTGAGAGCAGCCTGGAGCCAGCTCCTCCAGCAGCAGCTTCCCAGCACGGCTCCTGCATCCCAACAGACAGCACGAGCACAGGGGGGGAGAGAAGATCCAGAATCAAGCTGGTTCAGCCCCCTGCCTAGAGACCTGTAATATACTTTCTCTAGAGATAAAATGTAAACACAGAGAGCACACAAATTGCACTTGATCCTTGGGATCAGGCATTTCACTAAATGCAGGGCTTGGTTCACTGCTATTGCTCTTCAGGCTGGGAAACAGTGGGATGGCAAGTGACCAACCTGACTGGAATGGGCCAGACTTAGAGAAATGATTTCTGTTAAAAACACTAACCAAGAGACTGGGGAGGGAGCATGGTTTGAGCTGCAGAGGGGGCAGGAAGGAGAGATCTTGTTTTCCTCAGAGAGCAACAAACTGCCCAGAGCACATGCAGCACCTCCTGGGCAGAGTGGTCACCCTGCCACCCCCCAGGACCCTTCACTCAATCCTCATTCACATCCTCAGCCTCTCAGAGCAGCTGACAGGAGGGTCTGACTGGAGCACATTTCCAACCAGACTCTGAGCATCTCCCACAGCCTTCATCCCCTGTGTAAATCTTTGCCTTTCAGCATTAATAATTCACTTGAGACATTTACAGATCACAGTAAAGCTTTACAAAACTCCATACAGAGCTGCAAATACCCATTTAATTAACTAACTTCAAGGAAAGTTGTATTATTAATATGATATTTATATCTTCTCAGGGATCAGGCTGCAGCTCTGGGAGTTGCCAGCTTGTGAGGCAGGCAGCAGCATGCTGACAAAACAATGTGGATTGCATGGATGCAGCCAGCACCATTTCCTCTGTGCTTTACTGGAGAATATTTGGTTTTGTTCACCAACTGAAGTGTCAAAACTCAGTGAAGTAGCTCATGGAGCAGAAGGGATGCAACTGGGAAAGAGTTTCCTTCAGCACAGATGGGGAAAGTCACCTTCCAGGAGTTGGGCACTGGGTGAGAGCTGCTCTCTAAATATAAAAGCAATAAAAACTCCTTGTGGGGTTGCTGTGATCTGTCAGGTTGTATAAAAGCCCCCATGGATTCACCAGCAGGATACTAGATACAGAAGTGTTGGCTCTGGATTAAGACAGTGCAAAAAGGTCCATCCCACCCTGTGAACTCAACTACCACATGAAATGGCATCAATACACTTTGACTCATCTTACAAAACAGTGCTGGGGAGAGCCACGTCCACACGGGCACGCCGCACCGCCCCAGCAATCCTGGGCTGCCCCGGCACAGGCACAGGAGCCCTGCTCTCTTGCCACGTGCTTGGCAGCACCCAGAGGCTCCCACAGCCCACCTGAGACCCCCAGGTTTCAGAGGTGGGGCTGCTTGGGGCCAGCAGGCCTCTCCTGCCCAGGAGCTGCGTGCCTCTGCAGACACGGCGTCACACCTGCACGCCTCGGCCGTGCATCTGGATCACCTGGGCCCGCAGGCTCTGGATCCCACTCAGGATGGTCTTCTGGTGCTCTGCCAGCGTGATGCCCAGGCTCAGGATGTCTCTGCAAAGTGAGCCCCACATCAGCCACGACACACAACCCCAGTGGGGTCTTTCAGACAAACTCAGCTTGCAGCCACTCCAACAGGACACAACCTTCTCTCCACCTTCTCCCCTTCCTTGCTGATAGGCACGGGTTAACCATCACTGCCAACGGTGCAAAGGCAAGAGGAAGCAGGGCACTGCTGACAGGGCAGCCCTGGCCTGGCACTGCCCGGGAGGGGACACCCTCAGCAATAAAAACTGTCAGTGTCCCAAGAAACTTCCAAGCCTCAGCTGCCTGGGTAATTCCCAGCCACCATCTGCATCTGGAGACTTGACAGCTCAACAAGAGACATTGATTTTGAACAGATTACAGCATTAATTATCCACATTGTTGATGTGCATTTCACATCACCATGACCACTGTGTGCCCCAACACTGACTGCTTCCAGACGTGCACAAGTAAGAAATCCCCAACCTTTAGCCCCAGCCAAAGCAGCACTGACACTGACCAGGCATTCTGGGCTAACAGGAGCCTGCAGCAGGTGTGGGACAGCTCTGAGCCCACCACCCTGTGCTGCAGCACAAGAGGTTATCAATAAATCACAGTGGATGTGGTTCTGCTCTCTGGCAGGGGCAGGAAACTGCTGTCACTGCAGCCACAACACAGGGTTACAGCCAGGAGAAGGGGTCACTTACTGGGCTGTCATCCTGGCCACCGACTCCAGGTAGCAGTAGCCTGCAGCAGTGAAGTTGTCCTTGTATCTGCCCATTTCTATAGCTTCCAGCCACTCACCCACGGAGCTGAAGGACGGGAAGGCCGAGAAGGTTCTCTTGGAGAGGGGGATGGACGTGCCATGGGACCTGCCAGCAGAGAGGGTGGTGAAGGGGGAGTGGGGCACAGCAGGGCAGGGGGGGACGGGCAGCTGTGGCAAGAGGGTGGTCACCTGGGGCACGTAGAGCTGGGGCACGTGGACCTGGGGCACGTGGAGCTGGGACACTCAGGGGGCTCCAGGCTCTGCACCAACTTGCTCAAGGCATTGTGGATCTGCGAGAACTTGGGCCGCTGGCTGCGGTCCTTCTGCCAGCAGTTGAGCATCAGCTGGTGGAGGGGAGGCTGGCAGTTGGCTGGGGCAGGCAGGCGGAACCCATCCTCCACAGCCTTCATCACCTGCAGGACGTGAGGGGCTGGGGTCAGGTGCTGTGATGAAAACCAGAGGCAAACCCTGGGGCAAACCCCTGGGGCAAACCCCTGGGGCAATCCTCCCTCCTCACACTGGGCAGAGAGAGGCGTGGCACAGCCACTCCTTCAGCAGCACCGTGCAGCTGCAGGGCACTCACATCCTGGTGGGACATGTCCCAGTAGGGTCTCTCTCCGTAGGACATGACTTCCCACATGACGATCCCGAAGCTCCACACGTCGCTGGCAGGACTGAAGTGCTGGTACTGGACGGCCTCAGGGGCTGACCACAGCACCAGGCTCTTCCCACGCTGCACAGGCAGAAGGGCAGGAATGATTTACTTGCCCAGCAGGATGTGGCCAATGCTGGAATTCCCAGGTAGCCACCCACTGTTCATCGTGCCCTGCCTGGCATCACAGGGTGGGCACCAAACCCATGTGCCATGAGCACATTTAGTACTAAGAGAAAACTTTTCCCTCAATTTGTTTAAAACGTCACATTTAGTACTGAGAGAAAACTTTTCCCTCAATTTGTTTAAAATGTCACATTTAGTACTAAGAGAAAACTTTTTCCTCAATTTGTTTAAAAAGTACAACTGGCGTGCAAGTCCTGAAATATTAATGGGAGAGGAGAATGTCCCCAGGAAGAGCTGATGGCATTTTGTACACTGATATTTGAGGAAAACCACCTCACAGCTGTACAAACACAAGTCCCTCTGCCCTGATTTGTGCAGTGGGGTTGTGGCTGGAGCAGGTGTGGTGCTATGCAGGTCCCTGACCAAACACATTGGATTTCTACCTGAGAAAGAAGTCCAAGGTGCAGAGTCCCTGTTCGTACTTGAAGAAGGAAATGGGAACCTGGGAAAAGTATTGACAACAGAATGTGGAAATGCAGCTCACCATGGTGGAGAAGATGGTTTCCATCTTGTCTTCCTGTGGCTGTCTGAACCCTGTGATCTTGCATGCCAGGCTGCTGCTCACCAGGACCTTGTGGGCAGCAAGGCTTTTGTGCACGTAGCCCATCTCTGCCAAGTACGCCATGCCAGAGGCGATGCCCTGCAGCATGCAGACGAGCTGCGTGCCTGTCAGCTGCCCCTCGTGTTTCTGTGAAAGCAGAGCAGGAAAAGCCAAAGGGCAGCCACGGCAACAGGGCCAGGAGAGTCCAAGCTGGGCAGACACCCAGTACTCACTCTGAGGAAGGAGTCCAGCAGCCCGTTCCCCATGTACTCCATCACTATCATCATGGTGCTCCCTGCACAGACAGACAAGCAGCACGGTGTCAGCGCTGCCATCACTCAGACTCTGCAGGGGTTACAAATCCAGGTGCCAACCCCTGCACTGCCTGGCTTTTGGGGGAGATAAGGACAGTTTGTCAGCCAGGTTATAATGAGCACTAGGGCCAAGGCTTCCCTGCCATTCCCAGCCAGGAACGGATTCCAGTATCAGAAGCTCCTTTCATCTGGACTCTGAAGCACATCACAAAGGACAGCACAGCCCAGTGAAAGCAAAAGCAACCAGCTCAGCCAGAATACTTCCTTTCATAATAAAAAGCCTAGTTAGAATCAGCTCACATGCTCTGGTTTCTTTGGATTTACACGAATATCCATTTGGCTATCACATCCATAGCCTGGTTCTGCACACACGCTCAAGGGAGAGAGCTGCAGCAGTCAGTCTCATCTGTTTTACTGACAGAATCTCACTTCAATTGACTTTTAGTAAGAGCACACATGCTTGGCTGCTAAGCCAGTCCCACTACCTGCATTTATTAATCTAGCTGCAAGTTTTTATTAATCACCAGCAGGCAAACCCAGCTGATGCATGTGGGAACAGCTGCTCTCCAGGTAGCCAGCTGCACCTCTAGCACCAGGTTACCTCTCCAATGCAGCAGCTTAAACCCACTCCTGTCACTGTCACATTTTCTGAAAAATCCTCTTTGCCCAGGATTCTTCTCCTGAGAAGCTGAGAAGCCTCAGAGAGAAATTAAAACAATAATTATCTGATTGCTCCTCCTGTGTTTGCTGCTTTGGAATGTGGTCTGGAGATTGTTTACCAACTGGCCATTGTTTGATTGGTTTCATGTGAGTTGTTTTTACTTCATGACCAATCACCATCAGCTGTGTTGGACTCTGAGGAGTCAGTCACGAGTTTTCATTATCATTCTTGTTAAGCCTTCTGTCTCTATCCTTTCTCTATTCTTTAGTATACTTTTAGTATAGCATTCTGACCTAGGGTGAGGTTGTGGTGCTTGTATCCCCAATGGTGTGTTCTGTTGGTGCTGGATATTATGTTCTGTGCCTTCAAGACTGGCTCTGAAGAGCGAATGTTTTGTTTTGGTTTTTGTTATCAGCCTGCTCCCCCATGGCTGGCAGGACGGAGGGCAGCTTCAGGCACCCCCGGCACATCTCCCCAAACTCTCCTGCACAGCAGAGAAAGGGGTGAAACTTGCAGTGTGATGTCATGGTTTACCCTCAGAACCCCGGGTCCCTCCCCTGAAGTTTCCTTGCCCAGGTGTGTCAGTCACCTCTCTCACACACCCTGACCCCTGCTGAGTACTGTCTGTCAATCCTGGAGTCCATGAGTGATTGGCAGACCCAAAGGATGCCCTCCACCCCTGGGGGGCATTGGTCCATCCAGGTGTCCCTTGTCCCCTGAGACCTCCTCTCCTGTACCTGGTTGGTGGCTTCCTACCCCATCCCTGCCCCTCTCCCCCGGTAGAAGGGCAAGCACACCATGCAGTCAGAGTTCTGTTGGAGCTGTTGCTGGATTCAGAGGCCTGCAGGCCAGAATAAAAGCTCTGGATTAAAACCCTCCATCAGAACCGACTCCTTCCTTCACCATGGCCTTACAGCTTCTCCAGCACAGGGAAACCTGAGGAGCAGACCCTCCAGGGAGGCAGCTCCATCCCGCTGCCACCAGAGCCCCGGCACGCCTGGACTTGTCCCAGCACACCCAGCTGCATCTTCCAGCTAGCCAAAAGTGTCTCTGGGGTGAAACACCACAGCTGCCACTATTTGGTTCAGCAGCAGGGGTCAAGACAAGCCAAGGCAAGCCCTGTCTGCAATATGGGTCATATTCCAATATTAAACAGATCCCTGGCAGGACTGCTGCCGCTCACACCAGGCCATCCTGAGCACTGTGCTGGCCCTCAGCCACCTCCAGAGCCTCTCAGTGTTCTCTCCATGCTCTGCTCCAGTGCATATTGTGTTTTAGCCCATGAGAGGAGGAGTAACCCCTGTCACTGAGGTCACACTCTGAGCCTGGCTGGTTCTGCCTCCTGCTCTGCTTCACACAGAGCTGGACACAGCAGGGCTGTGCAATCCTCAAGGAAGGATTCCTGCAATCCTGAAGGAAGAACATCCCACTGCACAGCCATGAGCTCCACAACAGGAGCTACGGAATTCCCAACATAAAAAAACAATATTGGCTTCACAGCAAAAAGCGTGTAGCTATGAACAGCTTTATTGATTTGGAAATCAGGTTATTGTTAGGTCAGCAGTGAGACAAACACACTCCCAATTTTCTTAGATTTAAATGTCTTCCTTACTAATTTCTTCCTTGATTTTTCAAACACCAGTTTGCTCATGAAAAGTACATGGGGCTCCTCTGAGCTGCTCCACACTGCAGTTCAGAGGCAACCTCATCCTCTCTTCAGTGTCCTCTCCCCTTCAACACTGTCCTTCAGCTGCAGGCAAAGCACTCCCTCCTCCCCTCCTCCACCTCTGCTGCTGCTATAGCTGAATTTATCTTTAGGAAAACAAATGACAAAGAATGATCACGTTTCCCACATTCTGGCACGCAGTAGCCATTAAGGCTCTAGGGTCCAGTCAGGGGATTTTAATTTGCTTTTAAGTTTTAGGCAGTGAAGTTGATGAAAATCGATAAATCATTAGGTTCACGTATTTATAAATAGTTTTCATGCTGCTGTCAAACAGCCCAGATGCAGATAATTGCTGATGCTTTCTGGTCTGCGTGGCGTTTGCTTGGCTGTGCTCAGTGCCTCAGGTAAACACCAGGAATGTGGAACAAAGCTTCTGGATAAAACCCTCAGCAGCCCCACTCCCATCCTCTGCTGCAGGCAGGAACCCCAGGACTGGAGCAATGTCATGGCTCTGCCATGGCCCAGTGAAAGGGGAGCACACCAGCACAGCCACCACCCCGTGGGACTTGCCTGTCCTGATAATCCTCTCAATTTTGATGCTGGCATTGTCCAGTTCCTTGGCAAAGAGGTGCACGGCCTGCATGGGGTCTTCGCAGGTGCTGGGGTCAATGTATGTCCTCCTGGTTGGTATTTTAACTGCAGGAAAGGCAGAAAGGGCAGGGGAGAGGGGCTCAGCAGCACTTCCACCCACCCATCCTGGGAAACACTATCCCAGCTCATCCATCTCCTGGTCTGTGGGCAGAACCAACGTGCCACCTTTCTATAAGCAAAGCAAAAGATTCAGTTCTAAGGTTTCTAAGATTTTTTTTTTAGGATTGAGTGAATCCAACTGCTCTCTCCACTGGGTAAAGGAGAGCAGCCCCTTTGCTCCAGTAAAGCTCCCACCCTCCAAAGCTAACTGAAATGGTCAAGGCAGGCTCTTCTACTTCTGAGGTGCTTTGGGGAACAGAAAAGCATGTGTGCACTCCATGGGCTTGTGCCAGGAATCAAATAAACTCATCAGTCACGATATCTGAATTCCCTCTGATAACTGCTGTCTGTAAAAATTATTGCTGCTCAATAATCCAGAGTAGTCCCAGAAAACAAGGCTGTTTGCTTGTGTTCATGAGAAGCTGACAATAATTTATACACCCCACGGAAGCTGCAGGTATCCCCATTTCCTCTGGCAGGCAGTGACCCTCACGCAGCAAGGACAGACATTGGCACACGGAGCTGTCAAGCCCACGGTCCTCAGAGAGCCTTGCTGTGCTGGCCCCTGCTCTGGGGTAACACAGGCTGACAGCACTTCAAGAGTGAGGGCTCAGGGCTGCTTTGGTGGGTTATTCACAATGATAGACACAGGTGTTGTGATGTCATGGCTTGCCTCAGTTACCCCAGTCCTTCCCCAGGTGTGTCAATCACCTCTCCTTTCTCCCACCCTGACTCCTGCTGGGCACTGTCTATCAACCCAGGAATTCCAGGGGCTGCCGAGTGATTGGCAGATCCAAAAGATGCTCTCCATCCCTGGGGGCCATTGGTGCATCCAGGTGTCCTTTTTGCCCCTGAGATCTCCTACCCTGTACCTGGCTGGTGGTCCTTAGATTCCTCCCCTTCCCCGAGTAAAAGGCAAGGAGACCACGCGGTTGGAGTTCTGTTGGAGCTGTTGCTGGATTCAGAGGCCTGCGGCCCAGAATAAAAGCTATGGATTAAAACCCTCCATCAGAACCAACTCCTTCCTTCACCATGGCCTTACAGCTTCTCCAGCACAGGGAGGCCTGAGGAGTGACCCTCTAAAAGAGAAGCTCCAGCCCACCAGCATCGGAGCTCGGGCGTGCCTGGGCTTGCCCTATTGTGCCCAGCTGTGACCCACAGCTAGCCAGAGTGTCTCTGGGTGCAAACACCACAGTTGCCAATAGCCAGAGTGTCAGCAGAGCCAGATAAGCCAAGGCACGTTCCATTCAGCAATATTGGTATATTCCAATCCACAGGGATCCCCACAGTCACACCGGCCGTGACAGCCAGGGGCCACTTACAGTGGAAGTACAGCTCCTCGTCCCCATCCTGGCTGGCTTTGCTGTACCCACACTGCCTGCAAAGAGAATGAAGATGCACACCAGCACGTGGGCAGTAGCTCCTTACCCCAGGTGAAACCCCCCTGGAGCACGCCTGGCCCTGCTCACCTCCTCCAGACCATCACACCGACCACCAGGGACAGCAGCACCGTCAGCCCCACGATGGCCACCACGGCGATGATGAGGACGGGGTTCTGCTCACTGGAGGCCACTGTCACTGCAGGAGGGAAGCAGAGCCACTCATCAACGTGCTCTGGGGCAGGTTTGAGGAGAGGACGTGCCCTGGTCACTGCTCCCATGGCCAGCCTGTGTCCTCCAGAAGAGCTGTGGGAGTTTGGCTGCTTTTCACCATCCTCACAACAATTCAGGTTCTGGCTCAGCTTTAAGAGGCCAGGCTGGTGGGATCAGTCCAACATGCTGGGCAGTGCTGGGCACTGCTGCACCAGCTCCTGGTGCTGGTAATCAGAGCTGAGGAAGAATCCTGTTTATCAGAGGACCATATCAAAATTTATGGCCTTACAAATAGTTTTCTTTCATCACATTAATCCCTTTTCCTCCTGCTTTTGCAAACAGGGGTATTAGATAGCTACATTCTCTATAAAATTTTTATTGGCTTCAATTAATTCTGAAATGTCTTCTGTATGGCAAATGAAGGCAATTTAAAGCCCTGTTAAACACAATCTGTGGGAGCTGTTCTGAGCCAGCCAGCTCAGCCTTGCTCTTCCAGCCAGCGTGGGGGATTGTGCCGAAGCCCAACATCCCTCCAGCCTTCTCTTGGTGAAATAAGATGCTTTTGGACCACAGTTATGAATGGGAATTTAAAAGGAGAAGTCTCAGCAGATAACACTGATGCTGGCTGCCCTGAGCCAGCCAAGGGGTAGGCAAGCCAAGTGTCCCCTGAGCCAGGACAGCAGCGGGAGGCAGGCAGCAGTCATGAGCTAAGCCTGTTTTTGGGCAATCTCAGCCAAAGAGCAGAGCCTGTCCCAGCCTCCTCGTGAGAAAGGAGCCAGAGAGCAACTGCCCTCCTTGACTCTTCACTGAGAAGAGACAGGACAGGCTCCCCCAGGACAGGCAGGGCAGCAGGACCAACCTCATCAAAATCTAATGGGAAAATGCAAGCACAAGCAAATTCCTGGATGGCAGTGGCCCTTAGACCTGGAGGAGCAGAACCAGAGGAACAAGTGCTGCTCCATGAAACCAGGAGCAGCTGGGGCACGAGCTGCAAGCACAGCCTCCCCAGAGCTCAGCTCAGAGCCCTGGCAGGGACACGAGCCCTGCTGCACTTACACTCTGCCAAGGTCTCCACTTCAATGCCAGGATTGAAGTTCCCATAGTCTGGAGAGGAAGATGTTCTGATCTGGAAAATGTAGAGGGTTCCAGGCTTCAGGTTATTGACTGTCACGGCTGTTGATGTGGTTTTCACAGTTGAGTAACTTTGATCTCTCTGATCCTGCGAAATAATGAGATACCTGAGATGGAGCTGGAGTGACAGCTGTGCCACAGAGCCAGCATGGCACAGTCGTGTCCTCAGCTCTGGGTCCCATGAGGACAGAGAGCCAAAGAGCCAGCCTCCAAAAGAAACAGTACATTCACTGGATGTCTGATCAACAGAAATTACATGGGAAGGTCACAGGAAATGGCAGATGGAGGTGGATGGTGCTATGAAGGCATGAAGGCAGAAGATGGGGTGGTGGGGAGCAGCTGTGCCACCCCTCATGGCAACATCTCCCTGTGCCAGGCTGAGCTGTGGCACCAGCCAGCCCTTCCCTGCTCCACTGCTGCATTTTTCTGTGGCTTGAGATATAGAACAGAACAGCAGTATTGGAGCAAATCTGTGTGCATTGGAAAATAGCAGGTGGAGCCCCAAGAGGCACCCCAGCCCCACAGTGTGGCACAGGCAGTGTCCCAGCCCCACAGTGTGGCACAGGCAGTGTCCCAGCCCCACAGTGTGGCACAGGCAGTGTCCCACAGTCCAGCACAGGCAGTGTCCCACAGCCCCACAGTCCAGCACAGGCAGTGTCCCAGCCCCACAGTGTGGCACAGGCAGTGTCCCAGCCCCACAATCCAGCACAGGCAGTGTCCCAGCCCCACAATCCAGCACAGGCAGTGTCCCACAGCCCCACAGTCCAGCACAGGCAGTATTCCACAGCCCCACAGTCTGGCATGGGCACAAGCAGCAGCCACTCACTGCACTGCTCACACCACTATCAAATGTGTTTCCATTTAATACACATTTTCCCCTTTGAATCTTCACAGTAAAAACAAAAGCTTTAAAAGCAGAGATTAGGAACTAAGTTGATATCCATGTCAGCATCAAGAGCCTCATTTCAGTGAATAACTGCTAAACTGAATTTAAATTCTCTACTCAGGGAGGAAGGTTCCTCATTTCATACCCCAAGTATCATGTTGCTGCAGCCCATTTGCACAGGAATTAATGTCTCGGGCTCCAGCATTTGCCCTCCTCCACAGATCCCTCCTCTCGAATCTATCAGATGCTGAAAATCACATTAATATGAATCAGCTTCACGGTAGCTTGTTTCTAAATACAGAATGCTGACATGTCACCTGCACAGTGTGCCTGACACGCCGTCAGCTCCATAACGAGCCTGAGCACACGCAGATAAGGTAATTTGCAGAACTGTGTCATAAACTGCATTCATTTGGATTCAGAGCCTTGTCCCTGCTCTGCCTACTGGTATTTCTCCAAAAATTCCCAACCTACTGCACCTGTCAAACAGCAGCAATTTTTAAAATCAAGAAACTGTCATAAAAATATTTGCTTGGTCCCCTCCCATGTAGAAGGGCCACCCACAGTCACAGGTTTGTGGCTCTCAGCCCTAAACCAGTGCAGACCACAAGGTCCAACACTCTCCTGGAGAGCAGGCTGGGAATGCAGACAGCATCTCCTCCAGGATGTAGGAACCCAGTGTGGTGTCAGTCCCTGCCTAGCTGCGGTCACAGATGGATGGGCAGGGGGGCAAGGGAAGGACACAGAGCCAGGGGGCACAAGCAGAGCCCGTGGCAGTGCCCAGTGTCACCAGCCAGGGGTCTGTACAAATCACAAACGGGATGGGACTGCTGGGGAAGGCATCTCAAGCTGTTTTATTTTCCAGCATCACTTCATTACATGGTTATGACAATGGGAAGATGCCAGCAGCTCACATCCCCGGCAGCAGACAAAGAACTTAATGTTACAACTCACTTTAAAAGTTTTTTGACCAATCACACAAAGCAAAAGCATATTGACAGTAGTTTAATCCAACCACTATAAGCACTCGTAACTTTTGTTAAAGCAATTTAAAGCAATGCTTGCTTATTTTGAATACAATACCGGCTTGTAAGCCTTAAAACACAATGCACAGAGCCCCATTATTAAGCTTAGAACTTATTAATAAGTTCTAAGAACTAAGCTTATTAATATCTTGCTAGATATACTTTTCTGTATCTTAAGGAGTTATTCTAGACAAGTGTTAATACACAGACCATTGTTCCATTTGTCCTTACTTTTCTACTTCTTACATAATTTTCCTGCTGACCAATCTCATGGCTACTGCTTCGCTCTAATCACAGTTCTGCTGTCTCTGAGGCCTGCCTTTTGCAGCTTTCCCAAAACCCTCTGATTTTAAGGATTCCCACACCCATAGCCTACCTTCTCAAAGTACTTGACCTCGTACTCGGTGCCATTGGCAGTCAGGAAGCCTGGCTCCTGCCAGGACAGGGAGACACTCTTCTGCTCCACTTTGTCTGTGCGGATGTCAGTGACAGGAGTTGGCACTGAAAATGCAGAGAGGAAAAGGGCAGTGACTGAGGGGCTGCTCCAGTAAAACCTTTCACTCCAACAGCTGCAGCGTGTGTGGCTTCTGCAGACACCAGTTCCCTCTCTCTGAATCAGGACTGGAATAGCTCTGAGCTGGTGGCCATCCCGTGGGAGAAGAGAGTGGTAAAACACAACAGTTTGGTAATCCATGGGCAGCCTGCAACACTGCAGTGGAAAACTGGCAAAAATCCTGACAGCACCCTCCACCCCTAATGCTGCTGAGGGGGCTGAGGATGGGCTGGTGTCCTGGGCTCTGAACCCCTGCTGAGGATGTCTGGGAGAGGCAAAACACAATCTTTGATCGGGAGGGCTGGTGGGACACACCAAGGCCTCCTGAAGCACCTCACACCAGATCCACCCCATGCAGCTGGACTGCTGAGGGTATGACCCCTGCTCTGAGAGCAGCCTGTGCCTCAGCAGCTGCCTGTGTATTTCTGGTCAGCACAAACTCCCTCCCCGACATGCTTGCAACCATTTAGTTCATCCACTGCAAGATGCACTTGCCAATATTCCCATTTTAACCAGGTTTGGCTCCAAACAAATTTCCAGACTATGCAGGCAGCAGCTCACAGCCTCAGGCACAGCAAAAGCTGCACAGGGATATTGACTGTTCCCAGCTTGTCCTACTTCCCATCAAATCAGGACATTCTCTGGACCCATCTCTGTCCTACCTCCTCTCCCATGGAAAGGAACAAGTCCTTAGAAAGTAAACTTAAGTATCTGTGAAATTTTGTATTTATTACTTAGCTCATTAATCTTTGCTGAAATAAAAAGCCCTCCTGATGTTTTATTCATGGTGATTTGCTCCTTGATTCCAAATAATTTTGGCTTCCTGTGAGAGGGGTCAAAGGGGCTCCTGTGCAGCTGCCATGGCCCACACATGGCTCCCTCTGCTGTGACCCACCCCAGGGTGTGGGACAGAGCCCAACATTGTCCCCCAGCTCTTGCCTTGGGTCCTGTAAGATAAGCTAAGTGTTCCTTACTGTGTTGTATGATCCCCATCAATAAAATATCACACAGCTGCCCTCCTGTGTCTCTGAACCCTGGAAATGGACTGGAGAGACCTGACTGCATGGTCCTGACTGTTAACAAAGTCAGCAGGAAAAATCCTACTCACTCACAGATGTGCTTTAGAGCAGAGCCCAGAGTACATGACAGAAAAGTAGGTGCCAGTCTCAAACATGTTTAAAAAACATTAAAGAAAATCACACAGACTATAAAGCATTTCACACTGTGAAAAAAAAATGTGTTTCCCATCAATATTTTAAGCTCGCCTATCATTGCCTCTATTCAAAAAAGCAAACATTAAATTATTCACCACTCTGCCTGATTTTATAAACTCCATTCCCCTCTACGTGGGTTTTCTCCTGTTGATTAACCAGCATAGCAGCAGAACAGCATAAAACTACATGTGGCAGTGTGTCCTTCCCCAGAACAACTCGCTGCATCCAGCAGCTGCACTTGGGCACCTGCTCGTGCCAGAGAGAGCCACCTCTCCCCTCCCTCACCAGTCACTAACATCCCAACCCAGAACACGCCTCAGAGATCTCCATTCCAAAGCAGAGAAGCTGCCTCACCAGTCAGCAGGCAGCCCTTCCAGGGCAAAGACCCCAGGAGCTCAGCCCCAGAGCTGGCTCATCCTGCAGCCCCACTGCCCCAGGGTGACTGAATCAGCCCTGGGCATACACAGGCAAATCTACTTTGGAGGACCAAATCCAGCTCAACCCCCTTCTCCAGCCTCAGGAAGGAGGATGCATTCTGGTACTGGTTGCATTATTAATCAGCAGCAGATTTAAAAGCTCTTTAAGGCAGGAGCCTTGTATTCCTGCCGGGAATACAAATGACAGTGGCCTGGAGTGCACATTTACATGGCTAATGCAGCTCCACACCTGCAGGCAAACAGTTCCCCTCACTCCTCAAACACTTTTATTTAGTCCCATGCTGGGGACAGATTAGAAAAAACACAGTATTAATTTTGCCACCTGCAGACTAAATTGCTTCTCCTCTTTTCGCTGCAATTACAAGGAACGATGGACAATTCCCTCTGGTGACTGCTGGAGGGGAAGGACAGCATGGAGCTGCACTCGGAGCTGGATTAGAGGAGCAGGATCTGACAGCTAAATAAGGTGTTGTTTCTTGTTTAATTTTTCCTCTGAACCTGCTTATCAGCAGACAGGGCTCCCCTGCAACTTCCGAGACCACAGCACGACAGCCACCGTGGAATGCAGCACTGCCCAGGCATCCCTGGAGTCTCCCTCCTCCTGACCTCTGGCCCCATCCAGCACTTCTGTGGTGGGCTCTAGTGACAAGGAGCTGCAGAGTCAGGACTCCAAGAAACCTGTGGAGCAGCTGCCCAGGCTGTCCCTGCCAGCTGTGGCTCCATGTCCTGCCCATGCAGGGTCCCCTCCTCGCATTGAGTTCTTTCAGACAAACTCAGCTTGCAGCCACTCCAACAGGACACAACCTTCTCTCCACCTTCTCCCCTTCCTTGCTGATAGGCACGGGTTAACCATCACTGCCACAGCCTGCCAACGGTGCAAAGGCAAGAGGAAGCAGGGCACTGCTGACAGGGCAGCCCTGGCCTGGCACTGCCCGGGAGGGGACACCCTCAGCAATAAAAACTGTCAGTGTCCCAAGAAACTTCCAAGCCTCAGCTGCCTGGGTAATTCCCAGCCACCATCTGCATCTGGAGACTTGACAGCTCAACAAGAGACATTGATTTTGAACAGATTACAGCATTAATTATCCACATTGTTGACATGGATTTCAGTTCCCTCAGGAGTACACGGTATCGAGCAAGGGGCTGAGATTTCCCCCTGCCCCAGGGGAAAAGCTGTTCTTAGCAGCCAAGGCATGGGCTGGCATCACTGACTTGCTGCTTTGCTCCCTAAGAGAACGGGGCACTCACTGCCCACAGCTGAGCTTGTGCCCAGCTCAGACCTGGGGGCTCAGGCAAGGTGGGAGCTCCATGGCACCGGTCCCTCTGCCTGCACCAGGCTGGAGGAATGGCTTTTTATCAGACTTCTCTAAGCTCACCACACCCCAGCCTGTCCTCTGTCCCCCTGGCCTGAGCTCAGGAGGCAGAAGACCTTCCCAGAGCTAAATCCATCCTTGAACAGCAAAGATCCTAATGAGGAATGACACCTCTGCTGAGGAGCAGTCTGCAGCCCAGCATCCCCCAGTGGAGCCACGGGGATTATGGTACGAGGGGAGAGAAAGCAGCAACGTGCACAAAAACCATTTGATCAAGTGGTAAGAAAATTATTTGTAACAAGATCAAAGTTTAATCTCTTCAGATGAAATTGTTGGCCACTTCCTGCCAAGAGGTACCTGAGGATCATCTGTCTCCATTAACTGTGGCTTGGGAAAGGGTTTTAATGCAAATTAATAATGTAACTGCAGAGGAATGGACAAGGACACGACAAGCCAGAGCCGACTGTCCTTCAGCAGAACCAACAGCACAGGAGGGACCCGACTGTCCTTTGGCACAGACAACAGCTGAGGAGGGACTCCTCAGCCAACCCCTCTGGTCAGGAACCTGCCCACAGGCATGGGCACTCACTCCCCTTTACCTGAGGGAAATGCCAAACTGGAAATGGAAGGGGACAATTAGGGTAAGAACTGTGTCACAGACCAGCGCAGGATAGAGAGTGGAAATCAATTTTTTTTGTTTCTGAAGGATAGCCAACATTTGAATTATCTGTTTTAAGGAGGGTTTTTTTTGATGAATGGGCTGGAAGTGCTGCTTCATCAAAGGGGGTTTTATAATTTATAAATTCAAACTGCAGCCAGATCACAGAGCAGACTTGTCCCTTCACACCCAGGCTGTCACCACGCTCACTCCTTGCATCCCAGAGGCATCAGCTGGAACCCTCTGAGAGTGCCATGGGCCAGCCTTCATCTGCCCCTCTGCCCAGCAAAGCACCCAGGACAAATATGCCTGTGCCCCCAGGACAAACCAAGCAGGAATGGGGTGATAGTAAAAGATTTTAAAATCATAGAAAATTCGCAGAGTTAGAAAGAAAGTTAGGCCTAGTAGGCCCTGGGAAAATGTTAAAGGTAGGCCCTGGGAAATGTTAGGCCTTGTGTTTGCTAGATTATGTGAAACTGCACCTGTGTAACCAGTGTATGATAAATGATACGATTGTTAGATGTGATGGTTACTTAATAATTAGATGTAATTATTGTTTAATCATAAGAAGAATCATGAGAAACTATGTTCAAAGGTTTGATGGGGATCACGAGAAACCCATGCTTGGACGAAATCAATGTATACAACAGAACAATGTAAGTTTAATAATTAATATGTAAGTTATAGAACGATAGAATATAAAACATGTTCAGCCCGAACCCATGTCAGAGTCAGATTTGGGTCTGTGTACCCCTGACACCCAGAGCTCTTTAATAAAAGAACCTGCATATAATCATTCTGCGATTGTGTTTCTGAACTCCGACGGGGCACTGCCACAGCACAGGCCTGAGGATGGTGACCACAGCACCCACAGGCTCTGTGTCCTCCCAGCAGCAAAGCCACCAAAACCCTGCCTGCAGAGCAGATTCCTGTAAGAGACAGTCTGGAGTTTCCCTCATTTGCCTCGTGATTGTCACAAGGGCCCTGAAGTCCCCCGACAGGAGCTCTGGCCTGGCTGAGGCGGATGTTTTCTGGATGTTATGCCACGTGATTGTTTGCAATCACCAGCGAGCACAGGATCACTGGTGATTGCACTGGTGATTGCCCACTGGTGCCTTCACAGCACACTGCTTTGAACAGGTTCTGAGAAATGGTGGCCTGTCCTTGCACACCTGCACCTGCCTCACACGTTCTGACAAGCAGTGGCCTGTCCTTGCACGCTCGCTCCTGCCTCACAGACCGAGGGGTCTCAACACAACGGCCCATGAATCTTCCCCACATTTTGGCTGATGCCGCTCACTTTGGATTGAGACTATATAAACTGCAGCTTTGGAGACGACTTCGGTGAGCCCCCACGGACAACGGTGAATCTGTGTGGCTGCACCATGACGATTCCGTCTCATTGGTAGCTACATTCCCCTTCCCCCCTTTTTCTTTCTGTCCTTTATTTCCTTTTCAATTTCCTCTCGATTTCCTTTTAGATCCCTCTATCACATTTGCTGCTGGCCCTCAGTAAAGGCGCATTTGCTGTGATTAAATGACAGTCCCCTGCCGTTTGTCTTTTGCACTCTCGGGATCGGCAAACGAACCACCACGACCCCGCTTGCCCTAGCGGATTGTGACACCCCCACACCCCAAAACTGACCCGCCAGAGCAAAGCACCCCAGGGGGGGAAAACAGCGCGCTGTCCCCGCGTGTGCCACGTACCTGCAGGGCCCGTGGACACGTTGACCTCGGCGTACTGCTGGCCGGCCAGCGGGCTGACGGCCGAGACGCCGTTGAGGGCCAGCACGCGGATGGTGTAGTTGGCGTGAGGCAGCAGGTTCACCAGGGTGACCGTGCGCCCCACCAGCCCCGTCTGCTGCGGCACGAAGCCCACGCTGCTGCCACACTGCTGGCAGCGCCCCGCTGGCACCGCGGGGCACCGGCCGCACCACAGGCTGTAGGTGAGGTCGCTGCGGCCGCCCGCGTCGGCCGGGGCGCTCCACTGCAGCACCAGGGAGGACTGGCGCAGGCTGTACACCAGGTTCCTCGGGGCAGAGGGTGGGCCTGCAAGGAAAAGAGTGTCAGTGTACAGGTGTAGGGATGTGCTTCCTGTTGGCGGAGTGACTAAATTATTCTTTGTTTAGAAAGGGGAAAAGCACACAAGTTTCTCTCCCAGTTTCTCTCCCTACACCTCGTAGGACCTTTGGGATTTCACCTCAGACCTGTGGCTGTCTGACCAAGAGGTCCCACCTAGGTAATTCACTAAAAAAGGAAAGAAACAAAGGAAATAATCACTTTTGTGGGGTGTTCTAGCAGGAGCAAGAACCGCTTGCCTCTGCAAAACCTGGCTCGGTTTTTCTCTGTAAGAGCTTTGTCATCTTGCCTTTTATTAAACCTTTCTATGTTTCCAACACTACCTCAGAAGCCATCCTGCTAATTTCATGTCGTTTGGGGTTGCTGAGCTATCTCAGGTGTGATGGGTTTCTCTGGGAGCTCATAAGACCTGGCTCGAAGAGTAACACATCACAAACCTCAAGATCTCTCTGGGAGCAGCACAGCAGGCACTGGGGGTAGAGCACAAGGGCACAGTCCTGGACAGCCACAGCCAGAGGTGGCATGAGGGGACACAGAGGTCCTGGACAGCCACAGCCAGGGGTGGCACAAGGGGACATGTGGACAGCAACAGCCAGGGGTGGCATGAGGGGACACAGAGGTCCTGGACAGCCACAGCCAGGGGTGGCACAAGGGGACATGTGGACAGCCACAGCCAGGGGTGGCACGAGGGGACACAGAGGTCCTGGACAGCCACAGCCAGGGGTGGCACGAGGGGACATGGAGGCACTGGTGTGTGCAACACAGTGGGACAGAGGATCCCAGCTGCAGGGACGTGTGTGCACCACAAGCCACATCTCACAGTGTGCATGAGGAGCCCCTGGCTGGAGCCCTGAGCAGCACTGGCCCCAGGAGCCCACTCCTGGTCAGACACTGCCTGGCCATGCTCTGCAGAGACAGAGGGTTCCTCATCCCTGTGCTGGCAGCTGGACAGCATCCATCACCAGAGCAGCTGGAGTCCAGTCCAATTAACTAGAGGCCATTTAATTAAAACCTGTGAATTATAGTCACTAAATGACTGTGCCCCAGTTTATCAGGGAGTCTGTGAGCCTGACTGCACATCTGCCTGATGTGTCTGATCAGTCTGGGTTGTAGGGACAGCCCCTCCATGCCCTCCCCAGTGCACAGACCCCGAGGTGAGCACACAGAGCAGGCACAGCCCTGGGCACTGCAGGACAGACAGAGTGCTGGACAGACAGACAGAGTGCTGGACAGACAGAGACCTACGTGTGCAGGAGGCAGATGGTGGGTCTGAAGGAGACCTGGAGTAATTTGTCTGGCACAAACAGAACGTGGAGGCTTCCTCAGGTGTGAAGCTGTGCTCAGGGCATGGAGAACAGAGAGGGAGACGGAGGGAGAGCTTGTAAAACCCTGGAAGGCAAGCTGAAAGAGAGAGAGGCTGTTAAGGGGAGAGCAGCACAGGATAAATTGGGACATGTCTGGTGACTGCATTTCCCTGGAGCCTCCTGTGCTGCCCCTGGCCAGCAGACACCACCCTCTAAGCTGCTTTCCCTGAGCACCTGCATGATCCTGGCACCAAAAAAGATGTCCCTTGGTTTTACCCATTTGGGTTCTGTAGCTCTGCACTGACTTTCATAGTAAATGTCATTCCCTATCTAGGGTGCTAGATAAACTAGGAAAAAATAGCAAATGTTAAAATTACTCCTGAAACTTCCAGTTCCCTCTTTAGAATTGAGAAACCAAATCAGAACTGGTAGTGTATTCATAGAATGGAGACAGATTGTGCTTTTTTCCTTTAGTTAGGCAGCACTGACCACCACCCAGGGCAGAAACATCACTGCATCAGACACGACAGGAAAATCAATCCTGTTTACAAACATGATGGGATCCAAGCATTAAACCCAAACCCCATCCCTCAGATGTGCCTGTCACACAAACCTGACACCTCATCGCAGGAAACTGAACATTTCCAATTAGAAGTGTCTTTCAGAATAGTCCACCCTGTTTTCTAACAGCCAGAAGTAAGTTCACAGAAGTGTCTGTCATTAAAAACGGCACAAAATGCCCCAATTTGCATGTCCCAGGAGCAGGCACCACAACCCCATGTGAGTGTGTCCCATGAGGAGCCACGGGCTTTACTTCCTACATTTTTTTTTCCCTTGGCTGTCCAAAACTTGCCCTTGAGAAGAACAAAAGTGCCCAGCACACGTGATGCATCATATGTGTGTCTCTGTTTCTTTTTTCAGACAAACTCCCACCCTCTTCCACCTCATCCTACAAGTGTTTTTCTTGGTCTCCAGCTGGTTTAGGTGTCCCTGTCATTTCACAGTGCTTATTTCTGCAGTGGGTATGTGACAGCTCTCGGGGGATCAGGTCATCAATTTATAGAATGAAATTCTCTTTTTTTGTACACTGCTTTCTATCCTGTTCCTGGTCCTCTGGTGCTACCACACGTAAATTATTAAACAATAAAATTCAATAATTCAATGTCCCAGAGCCAAAGAGAAGCAGTCAGATGGGTCAGATGGATCAAGTGCCTCTCTCCAGCTCCACACTGCTGACCACAGCAGCTCCTCAAGCGGGCCTGGTCCCTGTCACTGGCAGAGGGAGCACATTCCCCCCTCTGTGTAACACTGTCTGCACCCTGCCAAACCAGCAGCACAGAGAGCTGCACTTGTCTGGGAGGCAGCTTGGCTGATAACCCAGCATGAAGTAACCTTGGGAAAGGCTTCTCTCTGCACCTCACCTGACACAGCTCCTCAGGCAGGAGCGGGTGTTTTTGGAGAGAGCAACGTCCTCTCTCATTCCCAGCCTGTGCCACAGGGAAAGCAGGGCTGACTGAGGAAGCAGCAAGGAAAATGCATGGTTTCCTACTCCAGTGGCACAGGACAGCTTTCCATTTCCCTTCCCAGTGAAGTCCTACCAGCAACAGCACTGAGTGTGCCAGCATGAATTAATAACAGCTGCAGCCTCACTCAAAATGCCTATACAGGCATTTATAATTAACACTACAACTCGGGTGTCTTCCAAAATCAATTCCTTTCCAGTTTTGGTCATGGAATTGTATCTGACAAAGTTCATCTGCTTTAATGTGTGTTAATTTTCTCTGCTGAAGCAGACATTCATAAAAATGCTCTTTAGGAAAGCCACAGCTGGAGAGACAGGCAGCCAGCACTGGGGGTGCCACAGCAAGAACCAGGACAGCAGCACAGGCTGAGGCACCCCAGCAGCCTGACAATCCCAGTCCCTCCCAGCAAAGGGCACACTGGGAGCACTGGGCCCCTCCAGCTCTCAGACTTGCATCCAGCCCTTTGAGCAGCACTCAACCCTGCAATCTCACCACTGTCACCCAAGGTGTTCACAATGCATCTCTCACAGGAGCTCTTGCTCCTGCTGACCCCTCCCTGGACCAGGCTGGCACAGCCCTACTCCATCCATCTAAATCCCATTAGCAAGTCACTGTTTATTATGTTCCAAACATTTCATCAGTGCTTCAGAGGCAAAGTGCCTCAGGCCAGCACAGTGGGAAGGAGGGAGCAGCAGCCCCAAGAAGGGACAGATGCTGCCAGCCAGTGCCCATGGACGAGGACAGGCTGCCCAAACCAGACAGGGCACCCTGTGTAAATCACTGACAGGACAGAGCATCAGTGGTGCACTGAGGTGGACAAAGAGCCTTGCTGAAAAACATCCTCGGGTAGCAGAGAGGCTGCTGCCCTCTCCACACTGAGTTTGAGATCTCACCTTGCCTTACTGCACCAGCTGTGATCAATACTGCAGGCAGAGAGAAGGGACAGCAGTCGTGTCCAATCTGTGAGCCAGGTGAGAGGGACAAAGTCAGCATGAAGAGCAATCAATGCAAGCACTGAGTCAGGCTCTTCTCACCTCGGTTCCATGTCTGCCAGGATGGGAACTTCAGGCTGTACCACCCCAGAGAATCCAAAAGCACCTTGCCTTCCACACAGTTTGGAGGTTTTTAACAACTGGTGTTCAACAAGCAGCCTATGGTCCAACACATTGCCAGCAATTCTGACACCTCTAGACAATGCTACTCTGTAATTTTTGTCCTTGTTAAATAATTTGTGGAGTACTAAAATGAAAACCTGTGTCCAAGGGCAAGATCCTTGTGCATCCCCAACAACAAACTCTTAACAGCCAAAATTAAATTTAGTGATTTAGTCCAGAACAAAGACAGTCTTGAAATATCTAACAGAGTGCATTTGATGAATCCAGCCAGGACTGACAGAACCTCCTTGCTATTTATGCCAGAATGTTCCTCAAGGACACACTGAAGCAGGCACATCTGCTGAGCCAAGTGCAATTCACTGCTGTCTCTCAGCTCCCTAATGCACCCACCCAACAGTCCCTGTGAAGGACTGGCTGACCAGCCTCTCCAGGGCCCTCTGAGCACTTCAGCTCACACAAACCCCCTCAGATGTGGGCAAGACATGTCCCCTCCGGATTTCAACAGCCCATCCAACACCTTCACCCAGCAGCCAGATATCCACGACCTTAACCTCACAGGAATTCTGCAAACAACTTGTGATGCTTGTAATTGTCAGAGTAGCTTGCTCTGAAATGAAATGTCACGGAGCGATTTGTGTCTGGATCTGTCACCACTTCCAAAGCCATAATTATTTCAGACACGCTGTGAGCAGCAATGGAACAATGTGCAATCCCAAATGATGAATACCTCCAAGCCTGGCCATTACTGCAGAGAGATTTTACACGGCTGCTCCATGTGTGTGAGCAACAAACACCCAGCTGATCCCACCTCACAACCGCCCTCAATGTGCCCAGCTCCAGAATTCCTCTGGAATTTCCTCCAGTTCCACACAGCTGCAAGCACAGGGTCTGACTGTAGGATGCCTGTGGCTGCATCCTTGATGAAAGTAGAACCTGGTGCTTTGTGCAACTTGCAGAGCCCCAGGAGGGAAAATAAACGTATGCATAATCCTCCAGCATCAGTCAGCAGATAAAGTACACTCCAGGAGCACTTACAGGTTTGTAAGTTAATGTATAAAAGATGAAACAAATCAAAAGCTCCAAGTGCTGTACATTTGGATCTATCTTTTTTCTATTTAAACAGAAAAGCAGACCTCAGGCTTCAGGAGGTAGCTTTGCAGTAAATGACAAAATATTGTCATTTATTATTTTAGATTTCTCTAACTTTCAATTGAACTGTTTCTTTTCCACCTAAGGACACTGCAGTGACACAATGGTGTGGTGGGACATATCCAATGGACAGAAGAGCATCTGACTCACCCCACATCCCACTCCCACCCTAAACCTCTGCTTTCTCCCTAAGAGAGATACAAATAAATCTTCCTTGTGTCTTGTCCACAGCAGGTTGAATTCAACATGATGCCCAAAAATCCACCCAGTGATGCAGACAAGGAGGGGGAATTTCTGTTATTCCCCATTTCAAACAGCACCTGTGGACAAGGCTGTCACTGAAGCCACTTCCTGTGCAAGGTTTTAAAGAGATGAGCAACACTCATCTCTTTAAAAGGTCATTTAAAAATCCTGACAAAGCACTAGAAACAATTTCAACTCTAAAACTGTTCCAGTGACGTCATTTCCATGTAGACAAGGAACAGGGACACTAATTAGCCCATCATTGGCCAGACCAAGCAGGGCTCCAGGTGCTGGTGAGGGGCAGCAGAGCATGGGACACAGCAGCAGGCAGAGCTGGCTCCTGCCAGTGCTGTCAGAAGTGGAGGAAAATGAATTGAGGAGGAAACTTTGCCAGAGCACAAATTTACGTTTCTGTCAAAGAAGAGTGGCTGGCAGCTATTTTTGGTAACTGGCCTCCATCATATTAATGCAATGTCTGGTTTAAGTTGTCTTATTTGCAGCAAATCTGGCTGGTAAATATTAACCTTGAGCTTTGTTGAAATTCTCCTTGCAGATATTACTAGGGATTGGATAGAAGAGAGGAAGCAGAAGGAGACAACTTTGAATGAAAATGTTAGGCAGATCTCCCACATCACGGCTTCATTTACACAAAAACTATTGCTACACATCAAAAACAACCAGAATAAAGGGGCTACAGCTCACACCTGACAAAATTAATAGCAAAAAGACATCAAAGCTGAGAAGGCAAGTGAAAACAAAACAGGGATGGGCAAGGGATCATCCACAGAGCACAGGACTGCCCAATTGCCTGCCATGCATCTTCTGGGAACGGGTTTTATGGTCAGAGTAAGAACAGAGCAGCAGCTGGCTACAGAGATACATCAGACAAGACAAGTCTGAGTGTATTTTCAGTGACAAATTCTCCTCTTCTTTGTGAGTGGGTGTTGAACAGACACTAAAATTGTGCAGTCCCACCCCAGAGGTGGCTGCACTCCAACAAACACCAAAACAATTCATCAGAAACATGCAGGCTTGTCAGGAGTGCTGGAGCAGTGGTGCAGGACAGGAGGATGGACGTGGAAAGACTCAGCTTTCCTGCAGCCAGAATTAGCAGAGTCAGAAGTCCTATTGGCCTTTTTGTCATCTCTCCTAATTTCAGAGTGAGGACACAAACCTTCTCTTGGTACAGGATGCTTTCAGTAATTAAATCAGGGTTACAGGGACACCAGCTCTGCCACCAAGGTTAAACACCTTCACCAGTTCATCTCCTGCTTCCTCCACTGCTGCCACCACCACAGTCCTGCTGCCAGCACCACCCTCAAGCACCACCCTGGCCCCCATGCCACCCACAGGCACCAGCAAAGCCCCCACCACCCCCAATCCACCACCCAGACCTCTCAGGCCCACAAGAGCTGCAACAGAGACTCTGGCCAAGAAGTTTTGTGGGCCAGCAGGATCCACACCCTCGGAGCCCTCCAAAGCCACCTCCACAGGGTCACGGTGGTGGAGCCAGGTGTGTTGTGCCACCAAACTGCCAAAGCATCCACCTGCCTCCAGCCCAAGGGCTTTTGTCCTCATTGAAGCTTTCATCAGAAATCTTTTAAAGCTATTCACTTAGCACTATGCTAATGCAGGGCTGCAAACAAACCCAAAACTTTCAACCCTTAAAAACTATTTTCTGATATTTGACCCGACATCAGACGCTGCTCCACAGAGAATGACTAATGACCTGCTTTCTGTGAGAGGGGAGAGAAACTTAATTATGTCCATTAAATTACTTCAAATATTTTTCCTCAGAGAATATGAATTATTTAAACTCAACACAGAGAAACCTGAAACATTAGAAAAAGCCTTCTGGGACTCACTATGTAAATCCCCACTCCAAACAGATGTGGAAAGCATGGCAAGCTGCCATGCAGCCACTGAAGCAATCAACAGCACTGAGATTTCAATTTGATAGCTTTAATAAGGTCTTCTTAAGGAGAAGCCACTGCCCAGAGCACTGGGAAGGGCATCCCACCACCTGGAGGAAGGCAGCACCATCAGCACAGTGAAAAGCCTGGAGGTGCTGCTGAAGGGCAGAAAGCTCACTCTCCTACTGCACCACCTGCCTCCAGTGCAGGGCAACTCCACCTGCCTGGGACTTACTTAGCTGGTTTCCTCTCAATCTGTTGTTGAGGTGAAAAGGGAGACATCCAAGGTATCACCTGGACACCAGGCATGGGTAGCAAAGGGACTTTTCAGATGTATTTTACTGAAGAATTCACCTCCTTTCCCAGGTCCAAGCTGGCAAGAAGGTGCCCAGGGGTGGCATTAGCCCAGCAACTCTCTCCATTCAGAGGCTCCACACTCTGAGGAAGAGCATGACAGCCAGCATCCCACACCTGGCTCTCACCTGCCTTTGAAAGAAAGGTCACAGCCTCAGGTTCATTAGTGGGATGCCTTGTTAAGGCAGAGGGTACATCCATTTTTGCAGCTGCCCTTAAACATAACCTTGTGAGCTGTAAAATTACCAAATTATTAAACCGTGTCCAAAGCGTATCAATAGGGATATTAATGTTCTAGAGTAATTTTAACATTACAGATAAAGCTGTGGGAAATGCCTGACAGCACCCAGAGCTCTGACACATCTGCTCAACCAGCACCAGGCTGCAGAGGAGCCCCATGCCCTCCAGCTGCCACCCTCCAAACAAACCTCTGGTGCTTCACTGGGGAGCTGCCATCACCCAAACCAACATACTGCTGCAAAAGACAATTCCACCTGTCCAAACTGTGCTCAGGCACCAGAGAGGTCTGGCAGCAGCATGGACTGACAGACAAAACCTGCCAGGAGACCAACGGCCACGTTTACCTCTGCATGCCCCATCCTTCTCCTCAAAGCCAGGGCTGCACATGCATTTCCCTACGGGCACCAGCCACTCGCCCTCTGCGCTGCAGTGCATCCGAGGGGGGTTATCCACGTCCACCTCAGCATGGGCAACACAAGTGCCCTTAACCTCCACCAGCGTCACAAAGGCCGTCTCTGCCACCGTGTCTGGGAACGTGGCCAAGTTCTGCACGGTGCTCAGACACTTCTTGTAATAAACCCGCACGGAGACCAGCGCCACACAGGCGCCCACGTCCTGGAAGCCCAGGTGGAAGCCTCTCTTGCTCAGGTGCCCAATCTCCCTGAGCTCAGTGTTCAGCTTCATCTTGCGCTCGCCCAGGTCTCCCTGCGTGAAGCTCTCGTCGGCAGCGATGGTGTCGATCTTGGTGTGCTTGCCCTCACGGACGCTGCGGCCCAGGTCGGAGTCAGACTCCACGTAGTACAGGTTGAAAGTCTCCTTGCAGCTGCTCGTCACGCCAGGGATGCTGTTGCAGTCCCGCAGGGTGAACTTCAGCTCAATGAAGATCCTCTGGCCGTCACGCCTGGCGATCCAGCCCGTCTGCAGCCAGTTGTTCTGGTTGGGCTCCATGACGTTGCAGACCTGGTACGTGCGTATCGGCTTGTAGGTCTCATCCACGCCACTGATCTCTTCCCACTGGGGACAGAACACAAAGCTCGGGAGCTGGCCCAGCAGAGACACGCCAGACAGCATAAATGTCACTGCCACAAGCCCCCCGCCACAGCCATTATGCTGTAGGCACTGGAAGTCCTCAGCCCACCGAACCCACCAGCTGCACTAACCCTGCTCCTGGGCCACCCAACAGCTGAGCTCTCCACAGAGGTGCAGACGTGAAAACGCAACCAGAAAGGCAGCGCTGCCAGCAGGTTTTGGAAAACAAAGCCTGACTCTGGACACATCATCTGCTGAGGAGCCAGAGCCTTCATCTCCCACACACTCCTCAGATTTTCTGTCCCTGGGAAGGTGCATCCACACAGTGCTGCCACACAGTGTAATGCTGGATGGGGTTGGGCCACCCAGAGAAATCCAAGATTTCCAAGAAATCCATCTCTAAGGAGATGTGACACCAGTGACACCATCACACGAGGATGTCAAACACCTTCGTGAACAGCAGCAGCTTCTCTGCCAGGAGAAGTTTTAGCTGCAACAGGACAAACCCTCCGACTGCAAGTGAAACAGTGTTCCCCCAAATCTATCAGCAGAGATTCTGATCAGAGAAATGATGATTCAACCCTCACAGCCTAAATGACAACCTGGCAATTTCCCAAAGCAATTCTTTCTGGGGGTAAATTTATGCAAAACAGTCAAAACATATCCAGAACAGAGTTTCTTCTGCAAACAGCTGTGCCACGCAGATGACTCCAGGACCTACCCCTTTTCCGTCTGAACTCTTTGTTTCCATTCGGGAAAATTAACCCAAAGCTGCAAGGAGCACAACTCCAAGCCTACTGAAAGTGGCTTTAGACCAACACCAGCAGCAAAGCCAGGGGCTGATGAAACAAACATTACATGGCACAGCTCCCAGTGTCCTCCCCAGCCACAGCCCTCGGATTCTAAGGGCTTGACTGACCCTTGGTGCTCATGCTGGTGTGCGATCCACAACACAAAGCCTTAACGAGCCAGTGTTTATTGGCTTGTTTTAGCAGCGTAAAATCCCTTCTGAGGAGGGACCTCACTCCTCGCTCTGCTCCCAGGGGCTCCGATCATGCCAAGCTACCCATCGACCTTGCATGAGGAGGTCCCGCGGCTGCCAGCCCCACCCCAGCTCTGTGCAAGCAAAGCTCTCACAGGCAGCACTTCGAACGCTGCTGAGCACCAAGAGGCTGACAGAGCCTTTCACCCTCTCCAGCGGTGCAGAGGGACAGTCCCAGCCCCGTGCTTACCCCGTTCGAGGGGTGTGAGGTCCAGCCCAGCTCCGCCTGCGATTCCTTCGAGTCCAGCAGGACAACTGCAGGGAAGGCAGCATGTTAGGAAAACCACTGACACTGGAAATGCTGGTTTAAAAACAACGCTGGTAAAACCCACCGTGTCCATGCATTGGGAAGCTCAGTGCCATGCTGTGCCATGTCCCAGGGCACGGGAGCAGCTCCCACCCCGGCTCCACCAGCCATGGCACCACGGTGTGAGCACCGAGCGCCACGAAGCTGTCACTGTACACCCAGAACAACCTGGCAGGTGCCTGATCAATGCCCTAAGGACTGTGCAACCCCAGGGACACCGCAGACAGCAATCACTGCCCACAGCGTGCGGATGCTGGAACCGAAAGGTACCAGCAGCTGCTTGGAAAGAGGGATTTCCCCGGCAAACACACCCTTTCCCCACAAAACAGCCAGTTCTGTCTTTGACAGGAAGAGCTATTTCCCTCAGTTCACAGCTTCACGATCCTTCCACAGCCAGCAAACAGCCACAGCCCCGACCGGCAGGTTGAGCCTCGGGCTCAGACACCGGTAACCGGGAGCGAGGGGCGCGGCGGCGCATCTCCGGCGGGCACATCCCTGACCACCGTTCCGGGATGCTCCGAGACACTCTTCTCGCCTCCGGGACCAGTGGGCTCCGTCCGTGGCAGCGCAGCCCCCGCGAACACGGACCTCAGGGCTCGAACCGTGTCCCTGTCACGGGACTGGCAGCGCGCTGCTCGTGCCGCCGGTGATCGCGGGGACCGGGACACCCCGCGCTGACCCGGTCATTCCACGAGGAGCCGTCCGTCCTCTCCCGCTCCTCCGGCAGATCTCCGCGCCCCGGAGAGCGGCGGCACATCCGCGCCACAACCCGTCCGGCCAGCCCCGGAGCTACCCCGCCGCCGAGCCGAGCCCGGTACCGCAACGCGCAGCCCGACCCGCCGCGGGCAACCAAAGCCGGGGCCGATGCGGCCACACCACGCGCCGAGGCAGCCGGGCACGGGGGACACGGCGGTGACGGAGCACCGGGGACACGCCGCGGTCGGGGGCGCGGGAGCGGCGGAGAACCGGGAGGCGCCGCCGCCCCGCCCGGCTCACCCTGCTCGGCGGCGGCGCGGGGCAGCACCGGCAGCAGCAGCAGCGCCCCCGCCGCTGCGCGCCAACCGCCGCCGCCGGGGCGGGGCCTCGGCCCGCGCGGCCAATGGGCGGCAGGGGCGGTGCGAAAATGGGCGTGGCCAGGGAGGGGGGCGGTCACTCTGGAGCCGGCTGAGGGAGGGCGGCCCCGGTGAGGGCTCGGGCAGCGGGCTGGGTCGGGTTCCTGAGGGAACGCGGGGCCGAGCTGAGCTTTGTGCTGCTGGAACTGCTGCCCAGAGCACGGGCAGCCCTCGCTGATGCCGAGATGCTGCGGCCGCAATCAGCAGCGCTTTGCCCCCTCATCCCCTCAGGGCCCGGGGCAGCAGCGGGGCAGTCTCATCCCTGCCCTGGCTGCAGCCGATGCCCGGAATGTCGGCTTTGTCGAGCCCTCTGTCCTGCCTTTCTGTCTTGAAATTTGATTCCCGGCTTCATGTCGAGGTCCTCCAAGCCGAGCAGCTGCTGTGAAAGCCAAAATGCCCAGAGAGAAAGCCCAGGAAAGGCAGCCCGGGCAGGGTCAGTCCTGCCAGAGCCACGCCAGGACAGCGCTGTGGCTGCGGGGCTGCCGGGGCTGGGAGAGGCAATTCTTCAATTCCTGGCTCACCAAAGCCAAGGTATTTGCCACCAACCTCCTGCATCGGGAAAGGAACTCAACGAGGATTGATTATTACTAATTGTAGGTCTTGCAGGTTCTTGCAGAGTTGAGTCAGGCTGAATGCCTGCCAGTTTTCCCCCTGATGGCAGATACTGCGATACCAAAGCAAACATTTATTCCTGTGGGTTGTTCTTTTTTGCTGTGACTGTGTGTCAGATGTAAAATATTGCAGGTGTGAAGTAAAAGCATTGAGCCTCCATCCAGCACAGCCCAGCCAGGCTCTGGTAGCCCATGCTCACAGGAATTGGTGCTGGAGCTCAGGCCAAGCCCAGCCGGACATTTGGAGCCAGAGGATGTTTCCAGCTCTCCATTTCTCAGCTCTTTTGCAAGAACAGTCATTACCTTTCCTCTCTGTGTTAACTTTACTGGGGAGAAAGTTCCCATCCGTTTATCAATGTTCTTCCCATCTAGGACAGCTCAGCATGGATCAGTGCTGTGTGTGCTGCTGCACCAGCCCAGGAGCTCCTGGTGAGACCAGGAGCAGCCGTGCTGACTGGGGGCACGTGTTCATACCATCAAAACCCTCCCTCCTTCATGTTACAGAGCAGGAAGCTAAAGACAGGGTTTATTTATAACCTTCCTCAAGTGGAAACCAAAAGAAGTGACCCGTTATTACTGAAGATTTCTCAAGCCACCCAGGAAGAAAAGTGATATTTGGTTGTCGTTAAAGGCTTAGAACTGCATAACAATTTCATGCTATGTTAACTTCTAGGTTTTCCTTCGCATATAAATTTTTAAGGAGTAAAATAGAAAAACCCAGGCACTTGACCTTTAATCACAGTTATTTGTGTGATCAGTCAAGTGTGGGAAAAAGCTAGTTTGTGCTTGAAAGATGCCCTTTAAAGGCAGATTGCTCTAATATGACACACAACTCTCACAGTGTAATACGCAGGATCTGGCTTGCCTGCCTCCAGGCACAGCAGCTTCCTTTTAGTATTCACACACTGGGTCTTGCTGCTGGGACAGTGGAAGGTATCAATATCATGAAGCAAATCAATCCAGACCCCTGGGACAGCTCCATTCACCACCGAGCTCCACAGGCATTTACACTTTCCTGCCACTGAGGAGCCAAGCAGGGAAGAGGATTTTGGAAGTATATGGAGGATTTGATGTTAGATACGTTTTACTAGAAGAAGAGTCTGTCATGTTAAAAGCACACAGCTTATCCATTTATCTGAAATATTATTCCAAGCACTTATAAAATCTTGAACAGCCGGAGGTATTTTAATTAAGATTTTAAGTATCATGCTTTGGGAAAATGATCTCATGAATTTTGTTTCAGCAGCAGCAGATGACAAAGTCATGGCTGGTGTGAAGAAAACAGAGAAACAGAGCAGCCTTTAATGGTTTCTTCTGCATTTCCTCACAAGCCCAAGCCACACCAGGGACAGGATGGAGGGATGCAGTCCCTGGGATGGCACAGCCCACCAGCTCCTTGAAGGGCACAACAAGGGGCCAGTATTTGGAGGTGAAGGAAGAGGAACACCAGGCTGTCTGGTCACCTCTGCTGCTCACATCCACCTCTGGGGCTGCTGCCCTTCCCCACTCCTGCCTGGAGCCTGCAGAGACAAGAGCAAAGGGAAAGCAAAGGCATCGGGTCAGCCAGGCTCCAGATTGTCAGGGAAACTTGTGCAAAGAGTAGGGCTAGCCCAGAAAATGTGTAATTGGCCAAGGTGAGCTATTACCTGCTGTAAGTGGAGACAGAAAGATAGTTTTGACACCACAGTGAAAATAACCCTCCTGGAAAAAAAAAATCAATACAAACACCAAGGAAAGAGAATCAGAAACCAAGACCATCAATTCCTGAGATAAAGAGAGCTGAAAGTCTCAGTGGGAGGACAGCCAGATCTGTACTGAAAAACAAAACTTTACTTCTTTTGCTGACAAATTACTTTTTATGCTAAAGGACAAAGGAGCCATGAGGATGTGGGCCTCAATGTACAGCTGAAGGAGCAATCCTTGACAAAAGCTGGAGCAGGCAGAAACCTCATGGAAGCTTTTGCACCTCTCCTTTCTCTTCCACACTTGCAAGTATTATTATACAATAAAACCAAACATTTCTGTGGTTTTGTACTGTTTTTGGCACGTCACACAAACACACTGCAGGACTTCTGCTGTGACAAGGGCAGAGCCAGAGCAGAGGAAGCAGCAGCAGTACAGCACAGGTGTGCCTGGCATTAGGGAATTTCCCGCAGAGGAAAGTGGCTCAGACAATCAGGTCCCAGTGGCACCTCACCAGTCTGCCCCCCCAGCTGATCCCAGGGCTCAGACACTGCTTCCAGGGGCACAGTGCTCCCTCACAGCCAGAGCTGGCCCGTCCCTGCTCATCCCCTCCTGCTAACTGGCAGAAATCACAGTGAAAATGGAAGCTAATGTAAAGCTTCCCCATAAATCTCATGCTCAAAGCTGCACAGCCCAGCCTCAGGGCTGCAAAGGGAAAACCCTTCTACCTTCTGGGATGTTTGTCTGCAAATATAAAGCTACCAGAGCTGTGCACTTGTTTTTTAACAGCTCTGTCTTTCTGTCACATCTGTACTCTTTGCCTCACAATGCCTGCACTATAATGTTTTGCAGCAGTTCTTTAGCTTTTAAGGTAATCACATAAAAGACCCTTGACTGCATAAACACAGCTAATCTGGGTAAATGCCTTTAAGCATCTTTACGTTTCTTGCTAATGGATTTCCAGACAGCCCACAGATATCCACGTTCTAGAAAATAACGTAAAATAGAGTGTCTAATTTTTTTAAATGCCTCACATTTATCATAGGCTGAGAAAATCCAGAGCTCCAGGCAGCATAACATCATTACACTTATGTAAGTCATACCCTGTTCTGTCATCATCAGCATGAACCCTGCCTTTGGCTGGGGCACGGATGCACTCAGTGTTAAGTTCCAACTCAAGCAGAGACAAATTACCACACGCTGCTAATTAGAGCCAGACAGGAGGGATCCAGGTGTCACAGCCTGGTGACAGAGCCTGAAGGGCACACGGAGGCCCTGAGCTCAGGAGCTGTGTGTGGGATCTGCTCCCCTGGGAGCGGTGGGAAGGCTCATGGAGGAGGCAGGTCCTGCCCCTCAGAGATGCTTTGCTGGCAGTGCTGGGCACAGGGCAGGATGGCAGCACCCCACAGGCTCCTTCCCCTCTGCTGTGGCTTCACTTGCCCTGCTCCAGAGGCAGAGGTGCAGAGTGAGAGCTCAGCTGGGTGAACCTCTGAGAACTGAGGGAGAAATGAGGATGTACCTCAAGTATAATGGTGCAAACAA